ACATTACTCCACAGTTCAACAGATGGCACTAGTTTTATTTCATCCACATATCCTACCACTTCGTTTCTACCTTTACAAAATTCCTCTTTACTTCTCGCTTCGTTTCAAAGTCATTTTACGACCGACGGTTGGACAGTCACTTTTTCTTAATTTAGATTCCATTCAGACGCTCATGACCAGATCTTTGTCTTGAAGTAGCTTCACTGTTTGGCCTCTAATACGAATCCTTTCTGATGACAAGATGGGTCTATCCCTTCTCACTTGTCACAGTCAATTACTTTGTATATTTCGTCCTTCCTCCTCTAAACTACATGTCACGACCTTTTTAAAACTATACATATATACTGCAAATGGCTTTATTGGCAATATATATAAGCCCCCTGTCAATCCACAACAGATTCTGCCTTAAGCTGTTAGTCGCTGGCTTCTCACTGCGGCGGCCCGGGTTCGATCCCGGGTCTGGTCAAGTGGGATTGGTGGTGGACAGAGTGGCACTGGNTTCTCCGAGTACTTCGGTTTCCCCTGCCAATCTTCATTCCACCAATTGCTCCACAATCACCCTCACCTATCATCTGTGGCTGGTACGATAGGCCAGAAGTGGCCGCAGTACAAGGGACTTGGTCCCACCCCACTAGCAATAAAAAGAATGTAGGGCAGGAGGTACTGGGGTTGAGATTATGGAAGCATGGGAACCATCCCATCTAAAGCAAATATCCAGCCTTAACTTATTCTCCACTGAAACTAAAGAGATTGTGCATCACTGGAAACTATGTGCAGATATTGAGCATTTGTCCATTATTACTTACTCTCTAAGGAAAAAACAAGGTTATTGGATTTTACATACCAAACTCTCATATTTTACTCAATTCCAATCAAGCCTAGGCTCTTTTTCTGCCTCTAAAATCTATATAACAGTAATCTGAGTATATGTCCGTAAACACCAATTTATGGGAACTTGGGTCTGTAGTTTAAATGTGACTTACCAAAACACGTTTTGAAACCTCGTACCAGTAAACAAGGTAAACCTGTGGAAGGATGTGGAGACAGTGTAACACAATACAGAGAATCAGAAAAGTGCCTTAACTCATTTTCACCCAATAATCAGGCCAAGGACCCTGAGAGCTATACCAGCGGTAGCGTAGCTACTGGCAGGGCCTCCCTTGCTGGACAGGTCAAAGGGTAGGCATCAGACGAAGAGAGACACCAAAAACCAAAAACTGATGCCGGAAGCAGCGTCATCAGCAGCGACTTGAAGCACAGAACAAATGATGCTCGAGATGGTTCAAGTTCGTATAGCAACAGGCGTGACCAGAGTGGTTTGAACGGCTGTTGTACTGCGATGTGGAAAGCAAATGGAAAAACTACCACATTATCACTTTTCCTGGATAGTCTCTTTCCAAAAACAGAAGATCACATTAAGTGGAGGAACTGTTTTGGAAGAGATGTGGACCTGTCATCTGACAGATTACTGATCAATCAATCAATCAGGCGATAACTCGTAAGGTAAGACAATAGTAAAGTTTTGACAACTCTTACAAAAATAAGATTATTATGAATTTATTTTTTTCAACACAAATGCAAAGACAACACAGTTATGCTTTAAAGTTAGCATCAGTATGATGTATGAAGGTCTAGACCATTCTCATGAAGTCTATGAGCATACACATACATTTTTGCGTTATCAGAAGAAAGAATAATAAAACATAATGACAAATATAGCAGGTTGCTTTACACACAGTTAACTTTAGAACGTCTCAAGCACATTTCATTATTAACTTATGGACTACATAAGCCACGCCATAGCTCAAGCGGTTAGTCGCTGGCTTCCCATTGCGGCAGCCCGGGTTCAATCCCGGGTCTGGTCAAGTGGGATTTGTGGTGGACAAAGTGGCACTGGGGGGGGGGTTCTCCGAGTACTTCGGTTTCCCCTGCCGATCTTCATTCCACAAAATTCTCCATCATCATAATCACCCAGGGCAGGCTACAATACACCAATCGGTGGCCGCCATGCCGAGTGGACCCAGTCGGACTCCACCCCCCACTAAGCGAATTAAAATTTTTAGTGACTACATAAACACACATTAACCCAAACCTTCTTGAAGTTTATTACTAAACTTCAAAACTTCCCTGACTTGAATTATACAGTAGTTTCGGAGTGACTACATACTCCCACTGAATGAAAACTTTATGCTTTATTTGACATCTTTGGTCCCACTTTCAAATAAATATATCGCTGATATTCTGTGCACTTGTAAAAGCAGTTGACACTGCCTTGCTACCTGCTTGATTATAAAGAATGGTATCTCACGATTACTAAATCTTGATTTTGAAATGCTGTTGTAGTTATACATAGTAGTTTCCTGTATATTCCATTATTCTTCTTTCTTTGATACAGAAATTAAATGGACTATAAAAATATTGGTACCTAAATTAAATAATTTTTATTAATGTTTCAATATTAACATGAATTTTGACACCAATCCCAAGTCTTCATTTATGTGACATTACACCTGAAAGCCAGAACGGTGGAGCCAAAGAAGATTTCCGTTACTTGATATTATGTCACAATATCATTAAGTATTATTTTGATTATACTGTGTCATATGTTCACTTAAAACATGCTGGAAGACAGATGACACTAGAAATCTCACATGTAACAGCTTCAGCCCTTTAGGTCTGTATTGTCATGTACTCCCTAACACTTTTCACTCATCTAAGCACAGATATCACACGTTATGCTCGTCACTCTGCAAAATGAAAGAGTACACATCCTACATTAAACACTTCAAACAATGAGTTACTGATGTCATCACTGTATAACTCACATCAGTGGGCAGACATCCAACAAACGATGGAAATTACTGTTACACCCTAGACAGCAAGTTGGCTCAAGCGATAACATTTCTGACTTGTATTCAGGAAGTAATTAGTTTGAATCTCAGCAGGGCACTGACCGTCTTATATGAGACCGTTGTCTTCCTCAGTTTCTCCAAGCAATGACAGGACAGTACTTCAGATTGGGCCACAACCTTCTCCAGTAATTATTCGCTCACAGTCTGAACTGCTGACAGCTTTCTTATATAAAATATAAGCCGACAAATACATACTGTAAGATTAAAATTTCACTAATATGCAAGGAAACACTATGAAGTCTGTAACTGTTGAACACAGTGTGTATTTTGAAACCAAGCCAAAGAAAGGTAAACACTCTCTTCATAAGCAGGGATGCTCTATTTTTTGTTTCAGTTGTATCACTGCTGGTTTTGGGGAATACATTTTTTAGGTAAATGTCGTCTATTATTCAGACTGTGAGCTCCTATGGGGAGGAATTAAAAGTAGTATAATAAAGGTTAATGAGTCCGCATGATCATGCAATGTGCTCTGGTCAGAAAATAGCAAAACATATAAAGCCTTGATAATTGTTGCATTCAGTTACACAGTGTGTCCCATGAAACATGTACCGAACTTTAGGAGGTTATTCTGAGTGAAAGATGTTATAATAAGATGGATCTGATTCTCAACCATTATGAAGTTACTGTTGAAAGTTGAGGCAATGCAGACAAAAATGGTTACTGAATAAAATAATTTTATTAGCTACATTTGAATTTTATTTGTTACTTATGCCATTTTCTATTCAAAATAATCTCCTGCACTGTCTATGCACAACAGAGGCTGCACCATTTGTGTGCCCTCAAGACTAGTCTGTATGTAAGCAGCAACTGCAGGAACTCATGTCTCATGTGCAGTTTCTCTCCACTGATATCCACAGGAGCAATTCAAGAATTCTGGTACTTACTGATGGAAATGGGGCAGAGTGCTGCCATGTTGCAAGCACATGTTTAATCTGGCTTGGAAAGGATCTTCTTTCAGAGGAACTCATAGTTTGTTCTGTATGAAATTAAATTTACTGTAAATGACATCAATAATAAACAGTAAAATCAGACGGTCAGTAACAGAACCAAGAAACAAAATAAAATTGCTATTAGCTAATATGATGTCCAAATGAAATTGTTTTACTGAATCCGTGATTTTCTTCCCAATATTCAGCGATAATTCCATGATAATTGAGAACTGGACCATTTTTATATACCGTATTTACGCATGTATAGGCCGTGTGCGTGTATAGGCCGCAGCACAATTTTCAGACAGAAATTACAGAAAAAATAATTTTCTTGGAATATTATTTCAGGAGTAGAAATTATTCTGAAATATTCCGAATATAATTTTTTTTAAATGAAGTGTGATTTCGAATATTTTGAATATAAGCTGCACCCCAGTTTTCCTCTTGAATTTTTGGCAAAAAATGTGCGGCCTATACATGCGTAAATACGGTAATACTCTTCACTCAAAATAATACTAATAATAACCTTTTGGAGCTGTGGGAGCCCCTCCACAGTGAAGCAACCGCTACCCAATCGGCACTCACCACAGCAGCCCACTGGTTAGCACACTGCCTAGTGGCAAAATTATACAGATGTGGACATCCAACATGCTAGCAACAGTCACAACTACGCTTGCATCAATAGGAAACTGACAGCCAGTCTACTAGCAGCCTCACTGGAGCCAGTGATCATCAGCGCTCATCAGGCCAGCCAGCTGTGACCTCACCACCACTAGCACCGGCTAGCTCACTACTGCAAGAGCTTCGCCTGGCAGCCTACCAGCTCGCAATCACTGGGCTGCTGCAAGGAAAAAACCCAACACTAGTGCTGGAACTAGCCCACAGCGACAAGAGCTTCACCCAGCACCCAACAGGCACACCTGGCTTCTGAGAAATGGCCATTTTCAGGGACAACAGTATCACCGCTGTTGCTAGCTCAGGCTAGCCCACTACAAAGGGAGTTTTTGCCAGTATCCATCAGGCACACACTGCTTTCCTGCTTGACTGTAATATCCATTCTAACAACAATAAACATTTGCTTGTCTCTCCACGCCACTGGATTCGACATCCCACAGAGTTTTGACACAGATTTCATGGGACACATTATAAACAAGGGTGATTCAATTTAAAATAATTTAATTGCAATAATTATGTTAACAACATTAATGCCTCATTTTGAGTAAGATACCTTCCCTTACACATACAGATTAGAACCACCTTAAGTACATGGAGTTTTGCATACACCAAGCTGCCCTGTAACATCAGGACTCTAAGGCAGAAACTGGTTATCAGATTTGATCAACACAGTGAGGCCAAAGTCCATTAGGATCTGACCAGCTACCCTCAGCCAGGCCACATATATCGAGTCATTACCCTTGCTAGAATTGCTGCTTGTGTATGGTACACAAAAGACAGGCACCTGGCTAGAACAAATAAAGACACCAATAATACAACCACCAAAGTCCCTCTAGGCAGCCACTTACTAAGAAATGTGTACTCAGAAAGCAAGAGATACATTTAAATCAACAGAGATATACATCAAAAATTTTTCACCCAAATCACACTTGCACATGAAGGAACTGTAGGAGAAATTCAATAAGAAAAATGAATTCATGTCCATATGCTTTCTGACACAGTATATACCCGTCCAGAACTTTCCCTTTTTGCAGCTCCAGAAATTCTGAACATACAAGAGGTATACTAACAGACCTATTGTTTGAAGAGTCAGTCAGTACACTGAAGAGTACTGTTTTCTGGGATATAACGCAGTGTAGTCCACTGAAAGTCAACCAACGTTTCGGAAGAACATAGCACCTCCATATTCAGGGTGTACAGTTTCAATTAAATAAGGCAGTGTATGCAATTTGAGACAAATGTACAGTAAGCTGCAAAATACTTTTCTCCACCCCTTTCAAATTATAAAAATGTTTGAAATATGCAGTGGCATAAATGGTATAACAAAATAGAGTAGCATTTCATCCTTTACACTACAGTACCTGGCCCACTAGAATACTAAAACTTGTTTAATTACCTACTGCAACTCATCACATGGCAGGGCATGACACCTAATATAACATAAGGTGTTCTATCTCCTGAGATATAACACCATGTAGTCTGTTGGAAGTCAATCAACATTTCAGATAAACATTTTGCCTGTCACGCTGGTTTCTTGCTTGGCTTAACATGTGACCCTAAATATGAAGGCAATATGTTCCTCTGAAACATCAGTTCACTTTCACAGGACTACACAGTGACAATCCCAAATCCATCAAAACGTAACGTCAAAAAAGTGTTTAAACAGTGCAATGAATCAAAATCATTAACCAAAAACTGTAAATATTGCACGTGAGAACCATAATGCTTTGAAGCTGTCCATTAGGAAGCTAAATCTGTCTTCCATTTTTAGGTCATTCTAAAGAGAACTATTTTCAGTCCTGTTCATCCTCAACATCTTCATCTGTGGTGAATTCTGAGACATCACTGCCATCTGCTTCCGGTTCCTCTTCTTCATCATCCAACATATCCCACTGAGGGTGTGCTGTAGGCACTTCAGGAGCCTCCTTCACATCCAGCTGCATAACACAAGGGCACATACATGAACACAACTTAATGTCTCTTTTCATTCATTGTCCTTCACACAATATAAACTATGAACGGAGTAAGGATTGGGCGATATGATGCTTACCAATGTGGCTCAGGCCAATTACTTCCTCCATTCAAATCAACTCGTGTAATGGGGATCATGAAATGTTCATTATGAATGACTTTCCACTTATTGATTTTCTCTCATCTCATTTTTTACAAAGTTACTAGCATTCAGTATCGCCTGTATATTAACTTAGCATACTGTGATATTCGGTTTTCGGACTTTATCCATCATCCTGGTTTTTTTAAGATAACTAAGAAAAACACGACGTTTCGGAAACTGGATCTGTTTCTGTCCTCAGGTGAGCGGAAAACACCTATTTTGTTGGGTCCCTTAGAAAGAGCTAGCCTCAGTCACTGGACCTAAAAAAACCAGGACGATGGATAAAGTCCGAAAACCCAATATCTCTGTGTGTTATACGCCATCGTCAGAATCCTACAGTAACTACTTAGCATACCGTGTTTAAAAGAACAGACAAAAAACTCAAATCCATTATGTTCCCTTAAAATTCAATGTATGAAACCAGAAAATAACAGCATTTTATTCAACAGAAGAACCTTATTTACATTTGAAATTGTTAATTAATATTTTTTTACACAGCCACTGGTTGATTACTTTTCCTGTAGTCCCCACACAAGAAACATGACTTATGCACCTCAGCAGACATTTTCCAACAGCAAGCATGTTTATAAAAGGGAAATAATGTTGTAATCAAAAAGAAAAGAATGAAAACCACATGCACATTCACTTTTTCATTTTCGCATTTTCAGTTTAAAGCAGATGAAGAATGTGCCTCTTCACTTACATAATTTTAATTGCAATTTTAATGCAGTTATGAGGTTATTAACAGGCAACACGACAGTGACACATGGCAATGACGGAGAATAAGAGGCAATGGAAGCCGTGTGTATGCAGGAACAAGCACAGAAGAAGCTGGGCATGTTCTCTCAGTCTTGTTCCAGCTGTCACACATCTCACATGGCCTACTCATGTGTGGAACCCCATGCCCCACCTGCTTTATTTCTTATAGAAAATTAGTACCTCATTTACATGTTTCTCAGGAATCCATCTAGGATATAAACAGAAAAATGGCTGCATATGAAAATGCAGAAATTGAAGATCATCATTATTAAATACTCCACACAGTTGTACTAATGCTGACAAACGTAAAACTCAGCCTTAAGCGTTAGTATGACTAATGTTGTCTACTATATTCCGATTATGCAGGATCACTCCATTCCAAACACACTCTGTAATAGTATGAAAGATTATCAACTCCATCCAGTGTGATACATAAATGTTTCTTCTTCTTTTTAATCTTTCACCCTTGACATGTTTCGGTTTGACAGACCATCTTCAGAAGGACACATCAGTATATGCGGAAACTACTATTACAATGTGACTGGTCAATATTAATACATACACACAATATTATTACAATGTCATGAATATAAAATCTTACCCTTTAGCAACTACAGCGATGTGCATGAATACATTAAAATATTTATAAATTATTATAATTACTTTATTTATAAGTATGGTTTAAAAAACTTTGTTAAAATCTAGAAACAATTTGGTTTGTGACCTTTATACTGCCTGTCTTTAAGGGAAGGTGAGTGTCTACCACATCATGGTTCTGTTGTTTGACGAATAGGACTCTTTAGTGTCGTCCAGTTGTTCGGGGCATGCTGTGTTGTTATACAAGTCAAGGATGAAAGATTAAAAAGGAGAAAATAATATTTATCAATCACACTGGATGGAGTTGATAATCTTTTATACTATCACTAGTGTGACGGACCAGGATGAACCAAATCAAATACTCTGTAATATTACTGATAACATAAAACTAATTACACTTTGTGAGATTTCAGGTTCACATGGCAGTGATTATGAACAGTACTGTACTCTGGGATGTGATGCCATTAGCAGCATTCTGGGGGAAGACACGGCCTATGCTTGCTAGTTGCTTGGTTGGCTTGTTATTCAACCCTGAATATGGAGGCCGCACGTTTTTCCTAAATGTCGGCAAACATCTACCACACTATAGAGCACAACATCATGGAAGTTAGTATTTTTGTTCTGAGTGCATGAAACAAGCCTTCATTGTCCAAAGGAAGATCATATTGGATTTAGATAACTGTGAAAAATATTCTACATTCACATTCCATGCCTCCCTTTGTTAATGGTTTCTGCATTTGTACACATAGAAATAGACTATCTCTATCCAAATTAACTAAACTGATAGCTACTTCCCTACTATGGTCGCGCCATAGCTCAAATGGTTTGTCGCTGGCTTCCCACCATGGTGGCCTGGGTTCGATCCCGGGCCTGGTCAAGTGGGATTTGTGGTGGACAAACTGGCACTGCGGCAGGTTTCCTCCAAGTACTTTGGTTTCCACTGCCAATCTTCATTCCACCAAATTCTCCATCATCATAATCACTCGGGGCCGGCTACAATAGACCAATCAGTGGCCACCGTGCTGAGTGGACCCAGTTGGACTCCACCCCCCACTAAGCAAATTAGTTCCTTACTTTAAAAAGAGAAAAATATGCAGAGCATAGAATTCTTATAATTTAATATTCAAATCTCACCTTAATGTCATGTGTTTGGTCAAAACCCAGGTACGAATCAGAGCGGAGGCAGACGGTGAACGTGTAGACACCAGGCCAGCGAGGAGCGGTGAACCTGAGTTGCACCTCTTCTTCATGTACCAATGCAGTTACATGGTATGGAGATGTTAAAAGTGTCCGACTCTTCCGGTCACTTATGTAGACCCACCAGTATTCCTGTTTGTCCTGCAATATTTTTATACAAAAGATAAATGGTTTCAATGGCGACTGTGTCTGGGGAAAATGTAAGGATATTCTGCAATGATTCATCACAGTGGCATTGTAATTTCCTTCTGCTGAGTCAGAATGATGATGGACATCATTCTGACTCCCCCTCCTTGGTGTCTCCACCTTATCGTGGTGAGGGGGTTTGAGTATGCCAAGGACCCTGAGAGCTATACCAGCGGTAGCATAGCTACTGGCAGGGCCTCCCTTGCTGGACAGGTCAAAGGGTAGGCATCAGACGAAGAGAGACACCAAAAACTGATGTCGGAAGCAGCGTCATCAGCAGCGACTTGAAGCACAGAGCAAATGATGCTCGAGATGGTTCAAGTTCGTATAGCAACAGGCATGACCAGAGTGGTTTGAACGGCTGTTGTACTGCGATGTGGAAAGCAAATGGAAAAACTACCACATTATCACTTTTCCTGGATAGTCAGAATAAACATTGCAAAAATTAATTCCAATCAGAATTGTTTTCAAACGACCACATTTCACACTTACCTCAGGAAAGGATGGGCAGTGCACACTATGAGACTGTTTCCTTTTGCCCTCTAATGCCTTCTCACGTTTTGATAGTCGTCTCTGAAGTTTCTCCCATTCTGTATCATCATCATCAGCTGATGTCTAAGAGAGAAAACATTCAAGACATAAAACTTCAACAGAGAGACCTGTAACTGCTATGAAACAAAAGTAGACCTAACTTATAAGTAGAACACATTTCAATGCAACAAGTAGGGTACTGATTAACTGGAATATCAATAATTATCCAAATGGCCAACACATAAATATACAGAAAGACATATTCTACTTTGACATATCCCATTACATAGTCTATTGTCTTTCGTTCATCTCTCAAAATCAGTGGTGCTGAGAGACATTATGCTACCTTCTGGTTGAAAATCACACCTACTCTTGTAACTTGGTTATCCACAATTGCTCCAACCAACACTGAATATATGAATAATAAAAAATTAGGGTATTCTGATAATACAGTAAACTCCCTATTGTCTGGCATGTATGGCGAATGAGGGTTGCCAGTTGCATGAGAAAAGCTCTTACAGGAACCCAATACCAAATCAAAACAACACATTCTCACTTTAGTCATTGGGTAGGTGTCTTCCTAGGCAACATAGCAGACTGATGGACAAAAGATTTTGCATATGTATACTGTAACACACTAGCATATACTGCTGCTGGTGGCAGCTGGGAGAACTACCAACTTTACAGAAATGGTAAATTCTCCTTGAAATTTTTGCTGGTTGGATGAGAAGCCAAGATAACCAGGAGTTTACTGCAGTTTTCCCATACATACATTTCATATATTTTAAATCAGATAAACTTTCTCACACTGAGTCATGCCCACTGCTTATGGCTCGTTTCAGACGCCGGTCATCCCCCCCCCAACCTTCCTTCAGTATTCTAGAGTTCTAGAATGTTGTGCCATTCCAGTCTATCACGCGATTCCCCTCCAGCTGTTTCTAGCTTGCTTAGTCTAGCGAGGGAAAAGAGGACGAAGCCCACTCAGTTAGAAGCAGTCTGTGAAGCAGGTAGTGAAATTCTGTTTAGTTTTCGTTGGTCCAACTTCTGTTTTTCTCCGACTGGCTGTGGAGGGCTAGCATCCCCCTTGTTTGAGATGGCTACACTAGAGCGTTGCTATTTAGGGGTTTCTAGGAGTGTTTTACTTTACTTGCCTGAGGTTTTGTATTGCCACATATATTTCTGTTTGGGCTCCTTTGACTTTTGCAAACACAGTGTGGTTGTATTCCTTGCGAGAATTTTGTAAGAAGGAGTGGCTTCTCGTCCTTGTGGTAGGTGAGTGGAATTCTGTCTTGAGATTTTGTTTGTTTATTTGTTTATTTTTTTCCAAAATTCATGTTGCTTTTGGTCTTTTATTCCCTACCGGCTGTTGACGGCGAGGGAACCCCAAACTACGTGACATCAGTTTTGGGATGTTGTGATTAGAGTTTGTATTTGGATTGTCCATTTTGATTCATTTTGTTGTATTAAATATTTGTTATTTAATTACCTGGATATTTTCTGGCTATTGTTATTTAAGATTACACCTTGGACACCCCATCAAGAACGCAACGTATGAATCAGGAAGAAAAGCAGTGTCATCCTCTTTCTAAAGAAAGATAAAGAGGGGAAGACCTGCTCAACAGCTTACCCTCTCTCCTTGACTGTGCTGATTTTCATCATCGTCTGAATGATCAGCATCATCTTCTGACCCTTCACTTTCATCCCCTGTATCTGGAGCTGCCTTTTTGCTCACTTCTTGCTTACTGGGTGCAGTCTAAAATAGAGGATTTAACAAGGTTGACAGATCATCACAAGCAGAAGCATTTAACATACACTTAAGTCTACTTAGTATTCAGTATTGTGATTATCATATACACGATACTATATTACTGGTTATCTGCTTATACAGTGCGTATAATCAAGTGCGCGCCGTGGCTGCAATTTGCCGTGAGTCCGTGAGGAGTTGCAACTCCTCCCCGCGACTGCATCCATTCTGCGGTGGTATGACTGACGGCAAATTGCAGCCGCGGCGCGCACTTGATTGTACGCACTGTATAAAGATGCTGCTTCAACTGCAGAGGTCATATGATACTGAAAGACATGTCAAGGTGACAAATGGTCTCTACATGGAGATAAAGTATGTAGAAACAATATTTACCTACAACTTAAAACTGAAAAAAAAAAATTCAGTCTACTAAATATTTCTGTTTGCACATTAGATCACCATGATGCAAGAGATTATGGTTACGGAGAACTGACAGAGCTCTGCACACTATGGTTTCAGACAGCACTAATTTTTCTGGTAGTTGGATCTCTTCTTCTTCTTGGACTTCTTGTGAAGTTGTAGTCTTGAAATTAAGTTAAAACAATGGAGCTTAACCCTTCAGTGAAGGGCTCCGTACCTGGCACGCCAGCGGCTTCTGTCACATGGCGCCGGGGTCCGTGCCCAGCACACCAGCAGCTTCTGTCACATGTCGCCGGGGTCCATGCCCCGTATGCATATTGCAGCTCTAATTTTCAGCTCGTATTTTGAACCGTTGTTTTTCATGTAAAGTAATTCTTTTGGTATGAAATTAAAGAGGAAATTTCAGGCTCTCATTTCGTATTTTCGTTGTCCCACTTTGAACTTCCTGCAGGAGTTGTAATACATTTGAATTCTTTGAAAAAGCTTTCAATTTCGACACTTGGTGCGCTTGTTACCATACAAACCTATCTCTGCCTAGGGGGATGCTTATGAACTAAATATGTTAGATCGATACTGTGTGCTGTCCTGCATGCTGATGGAATGAAATGTCGATTCTCTTGAGGCATATTCTGAACTGTGCGGCTTCAATATTGGTATTTGTAACTACAAGAAGACACGTGGAGAATTTACGACTTTGAGATGTGATGTTGACTCTAGAAGCGTGTAATGACTGCTACTGTAGCAAATGATAAACAGTTCGCTATATGACTGATACCACTGTCATCCCCCTTTTTTCTATAAATAGGCATCATGCAGTCTGGTTAGCCAAGGCCAGCTGCAAGGCATGAAGTGGCCAGCTGTGTTGTGTCATGACCAGTGGAGAACATATTTACTTCAAACTGAATCAGAACAAAGTTTTATCAGATTTTGAATCAGACACTGAAAATGGATGTTTGTGCTTTTCTTGATTCTGTTGTAAATGACAGAATCGAGAATAGCACAAACATCCACTGGGAGAATATGCAAAACTATAAGGGACAAAAAGAAAATTTCTGAATGCGATGAGAATATGTAGGAATAACACAAGGGAAAGAATAGATCAATTGTCAATCAGAATTCAGTTAATTGAGGAACTCTCTGTGAAGTATGCTAATGCTGTAGAACACAAAGTGCCAGATCAACATTCGTCCGACAAAACGGTGCCCCGTCTAAGAGAAAGATATTTTATAAGCAAGATTCCACCAACTGCTAAGAAATCAAAACCACAAAAACAGCGTGTTTTGTGTCAAATCTGTGTACTGGTGTGATGCGTGTGACGTGGGACACTGTGTGGAATGTTTTCATGATTAACACACCCAGCTGAACTTCTAAGATAGTGTGGTACTATCATTCATAATTTTTATAGGCTTACTGTGGCAAAAAAATAATTTTAAAGCAGTGTGGATCAAGACACCAATTCTATATACATTTCTGAACGTAGTGTGAAAATTAGAAAAGGAAAACTCCAATTTTTCCCAATTTATTACACTTTAAGTGAAATGATGCCCTCTCTGATTTAATTATTTAAATATCCTCTGGAATAGAAGTTGAGTAGGAAGTTAAATGCCCACCAGCGGTGAAGGGTTAATAAGGTACATGACATTTCATGACACTATCAGTATCTAGACTATATAAAGTGAAGGACGCTGACGAATTACAATGCATCTAGAAGGATGCTGTCAAGGCCTAATCAGGACAGTGTCCTAGTGTTTGCCTAGAGGGAGTGAAACAATTCCTAAAAGGAAGTGTACTTTTACATATACTCCTGATAATTGGCAAGCATGACTGCATAACGAAAAACAACAGGAAACCTCAGTCGTGTCAGCTGGAGTCCCTGCCAAGATATGAACCTAGTACCTTTTGAATACAAGACTAGAGTGATACCATTATACCAACCAGCTCACTCCCCACTACATTTCACCTTCAAGAAATACGTGTTTCTCTGAACTTTAACCTTGAAACAAACATAAGGAAATCAGTGGGAAATTTGGAAACACACCTAACTTTATGCCACAGTAATGTCCCAGTTGTTACCTCTTAAATGTCTTTGGTGTACCAAACTGTCAATTCTGTTGTCATGTCCAGTGCTGATAAGGCCCACTTGGAAGACTAGGTCTCTACAAGAACAGCATGCATTCTCTTATTCACTAACCTCTGCCACATTTGATGACTTATCCTCACTCTTCTTAGCTGCTACTGTCCTGCCAACTGGTTTTTGGTTTTTTGTATTCTTCTTTCCTCCCTTCTTACCCTTTTTCTGTTGTTTCTGCCAGACTGGTTTCTTTGCCTGCAAAGAAAAACTTGTTCTCAGTAAACCTTCAAGTCTAGGCTAATGTTTTCCAGCTGTTTTAGCACAATCCTAGTTTGCATTGTATGTAAATAAGAACAGAAGAAAAGAGCATTTATGAGTTTCAGAATATTTGGAGATGCATTTATCTTACAAACGTAAAATTGCCATTGCAAGGCATTTGTGTTGAAGCAGCCTTGGCATCTGCAGCAGGCACTTATATGGTGGAGCCTAGCAGTCAAAGGGTTAATGTTCTGTTACAATTCTTTAAGGGTTTTTGATTTTGGTCAAACAGAATATTTTGACATTATGATAGGCATACTTTAGAAATGAAGTAGGCTCTGATTCTTTACAATACACAACCAATCCTTGACAAGAAGAGGCTATTTGTTTTATTACATAACTTGAAAAATATTGAGTCAACCCTTAACAAAGATAACAATTGTCCCACAACCTATGTAACATTAAAATTTGGCATGTGTGAAAATGACCTTTTCAGTTTGAGAAAAGAATTTCTTCTACCTGCTCCAGCCCGCTCTCTGCTACCTGTTCGCCTGGCCTTGCTACCGATCTCTGATCCTACCCCTTTCCTCCATTGATTTCCCATGTGGCCCACTCTCCCTCCCTGTTCTTATACAGCTGGGTGTTTTCAACAGGTGGCTCAGTCTGCTAGCCACCTCTCATGCCGGTTTGTTTGCAGAATTTTCTACCCTGAAGATGGACACATGTTCCTCCAAAATGTCGGTTCACATAAGATCTACACAGCACCACATCCCAGAAGATGGCATTCTTCATAGTCACCACTGTGAAAACCTCAAATCCTACAATTAAAAAAAACTGAGAGTAAATGTGAGATGAGAATTTCCTCTGATGGCACTAAAATGTACTATTGTATTTACGCAAACAGAAGATGATTCCAAATGTATTTCAACACTGCATTATGAAATATGTCTGCACAGAAGCAATAATTTTATGAATTAATTTCATATTCTGAGTGAAAACATGTAAAAGAAAATGAATATTGGAAGACATGTTACAGATAACATTTATTGAGCAAGTTTCCTTCTAGAAGCCACTAGCCATATTCTGCTTCACCAGTCTCTCTCTCTCTCTCTTTCACTATTCCTATCATCTGTCACACTCAGTGTCTTCACAATTCCCATATTCTGTCTCACATTCACTGCTCACTCTCTGAGGTTTGCTGGCAAACATTCCCAACTTCTTCCTCATCTTCCCGTCCACTCTTCTCACCAGATAGAGCACCCGTCATTTCTGGTGAGGCCCACTCCCATGGTTCTTATCTCCTGGCACAGCAGTGCCACACTGGGTTTCTTTATTGTCCTGGCTCATGTCCAAACTCAGTCCCCTGCCACAGGTCATTTGGAATCCAGTTGCTTCAAACAATCCTTAAATTGACTTGAAAGGATTCTGACGATGGTGTATACTGTACTTCTTTTGGCTTATTTTNTGTTGGTGATAGTTCAGGAACACAGAGGGAGGGGAACATCTGCCATTGGAAGTCGCTACTGAGCAATGGCTAGTGAAGACATGACTGTGGACACTAGTGTGTGTGTGTGCGCGTGCGTGTGTGTAATAATGAATTGTAAAGTGTCATCACACCCTGTATCAAAGGGTCCAATAAATCCAATCATCAATTCAAAACCCACCTGTAGTCACTCATACACATGACAATATCTGCTGTATCTGCTCTTCATTTGTTTTAGTATTTGGCTGCTGTAAATTGCATCTGAGATTCTTTATCTTCCCTTAGTTTCCCTTCAAGAAAACCAAATTTATCTTTGTCTTAAGTTTTGTAATGACATGGTACATTGTATTCTTTTGGTGCTCACACTGCCTCAATGCAATGAGGCAAATAATTTCACTCTTCACTACAATAAAAAATACATGTTTCCCATTTTTAATTGAAATACACATGTTGCGTTCTAATTTTCTTTCCTTCATTTTAGACATAGACACTGCAAAATCGAAATGCATGTTCAAGAGTAAAACACACAAAAAGACTGCAAGGCCCATAAATTTACACACAGGAGAGACATAACTGCTTGCAATGGTCACTGTAATAGATGTTTTATGTAAGTGTGGGCAATACTGTCACATGAAGGTTGCACATTTTGTAGTCAATGTGATTATCTTGCTTGATAATATTAGCTTGTCAAGTAACAGACATTAGCTCTTTCTAACGGACCCAACAGAGTAGTTGTCTCCCATTCCTTCACCTGAGGATGGAAACAGACCCAGTTTTGAAAACATTGTTCTTTAATGCACTTCAGAAAACCACACAATGGATAAAGCCCAGAAACCCAGTAATTCTGAATAGAAAAATGATTTTGAAACATTCAGTTTAGGTCTGAGGAAATATTAAATTATTTTGGGCTTCACTAACTCGAAAACACTGATCCTTTAAAAGTGGGTATGCATAATGCCTTTCTTACATTTACCAGCTCCTCCTTTTTGTCATCCTCTTCTTCTTCATCGCCTTTACTGAAATTAGATGTGTCCTGTGGTTTAATTGCATCAGATAAAGTGTCCTCTCCAAGCACAACACTCAAGGTGTATCTTACTAAAGTAACTGTTACTGTGACAATGGCACCAGCAGTGTAGACTGTCGGATTTTCATCATCAATAACTGAAAAACAAAGCAACAATCACACTGAACAGCCTCCAAAGTTCACAGGATGACCAAAGTATCATACAAAGCATTCTACACAATAACACTGCAACTAGATTGCTTCAGAGGCTGCAAGACTACAGCCTAATTCTGGCATGTACAATTTAACATACGTTAAATGTAAGCATGAGATTTATCATTATTATTATGCAAATTCATGAACTGTCAAGAATTACACTTCAAGCCTAGCAATGGTATTAGCATGATGTGGCTTATTCTGCCAAGAAATTGAACATTGAACTAGCATGACTTCTAATTTAAAAAAATTATTACATAAAGATTAACTGTGCTAGAGACATGAACCTCCCACTGTTTTACAGCTCAGATCTTCCAGGTGTATTTCCCCCCATCAGAGACCTCTAGCATTTAGCACTCCAACACTGCAATCTCTCAGGCAGTGCAGTAACTCTTGAATGTCAACCTGCTTTGCATGTTACATTGTTACCATACAGTACATGATGTCTACATGACTCTCTTTCTTAAATGTGATGGATCAACACATTATAAACCCAGACTGAATATAATTCATGGTTTGCATGTCTCATGCAGAAACGATTTGGTATTCACATGATTTCTTAGCACAGCCCAAGCAGAATGGATACACCTGGACCAATTCATGATCAGATCCCATACTGTGTACAAGTGAAATGAAAATTATGCCATCTAAATTTATTACAAATGCAGAGGTGATGGAAACTGTGAACAATTCAGACTCAGGTGCCTATGAGACTGAAGGCCCCAATGAAACCTGCCCCAGTGCCACTTTGTCCACCACAAATTCCACTTGACCAGACCCGGGACCGAACCCAGGCTGCCGCAATGGGAAGCCAGCAACTAACCACTTGAATTATGGTGCAGCATAGTAAGTTAGTAAGTAGGTGACTATAGCCAAGGTTTCGATTGGTAATCAGATTTTCCGGACTCTTGAAACTTGTAACTACAAGTACTACAGAGCTATTTCTAATTCACTACAACACATGCTAAGACTTCTCAGTCTTCTGTGTCTTCATTGATTGTTGTACGGTAACAGTTCCCAATGCAGTAGTTTCCTCATCTTCCATACTATACGGCTCTGGTCCTCACTGGCTGGCGCCTATCTCACAACTCAACGAGGTGTCACCTGGTCACAGTCTTCTAACAAGGGCTATGCCTCAAACCCTTGCGGCTCAAGAACTGTACGCACTAACCACCATCTCCAGACTCCTGACTCTCATGACTACACTTCTGATGTTCCCAGTCAGTCTTCGCTGCATTGCTGGGTAACACCTTCCAACACTGAATGTTCCTCTGTTCCCACAAAATGACTTGGCGTTGCTATGCAACAGCTTGCAACATTTGGAGCTCCTCAACCTCCCGTGCGTCTGCCTGGGGTGACTGTCTCTGACTGCATGTCTCTCAGCTCAAACTTTACTTGACTGGCCTGTTTCGATTCTCCTGATATAGCCTCCATGCATACCCACAGTGAACACTGCTTCCCACAATTCCTCTGTTGCTGCATGACATCACTACTGGCGTGGCACAACATATTCCACTCTTGTGTCACTGTTTATTGTGTCATTACATGATGACAGATGTTTCTTCTGATTAAACTATTCCGGTTTTCAGCATACATGCTACAATATTTAATCTGTTTTCTGCTTTAACCACAATGAAATATACTGTCACGTATTAGGGGTTTGCAGGAAAAATAAAAAAGGGTTCTGGATTGGATGATTGGATTTATTGACACTTCTATTACAATTACAAACAATTACGATAGCTCAAACTCAATGGCTGTCTAAAGCTTGCTCCATTCGTTACTGGAACACGAGTGTCTTTTCTTCTGCTGTGACAGTCACTGCTTCAGTTTCCATTGCCTGCTGGTTAACATTCCACGGCTGAACACTCAACTATTGAACTGCATCCTGGATTCACTTGCAGATGCCTTCGTTCTTCCCTGCACAGCCACTTACGTAGTCTCCAGTCTCCATGCAAAATGTTAATTGCTTGTTCATATCCATGGAAACTTTTTGGTTCCATTGACATGGAAAAAGCATTCCATACCAAGTCAGTCTCCACCAATCCGCATCTCCACAGAAACATGTGTTAGTGAGCCGCTGTCTAGCAATGGACTATTCCAGCCTTCAAGCGTCATCTCACAATATGTACATATCATCACTGAACAGTCACACAAATGTTGAATATTTTTATTAATTTTCTTAAATAACAACAACAAATCATCATGAAAGCCTAAAATTAGTAAGCATCCTTTATAGAACAATTTCTTAGCCAGTTGTTTTAACCAAGCATAAATACAGTTACTGCTGCTTACCTTCTGAACGGACCTGGAAGTCAATGTGTGGCATCTTGCTAACAACGTTCATTACATCTTCATATTGTTCATCAGACAAGTTTCGCAATATATGCCGCCGTTCTGCATGTGTTAATTGTACGAACTGCTGAATGCTCTTTATGTGTCGCTGTGAAAACAAAATTCTAATCTTATTTATGTCAGACAAATCAATATTATTTTGAAATAAGTATCAATAACATAAAACTTAAAACCACAACATATTTTGTCAATACAACTTGTTGCAAAAATTTGGATGAAGACTAAGGCCGTGTCCTGCGTGCGAGCATCGAGCTTCCACTTGCGAGCGTGAACATCTTCCACATGAGGACAAACACATTTATGTGCTTGAACTCTGTAAGAGCAAGGCAAAGCGGACACTTCCAAGAAGCCGCTTCTATTCGCCTGGCCGAGGAAGCAGCGACCATTCATGTTTGATCGCTGCTTCTATTTGCATCTAGTATTTCACAATGGCAACATACATTGAAAGTCTGATTTCAGAAGTTTTCGAAAGACCTGTGCTTTGGGACCACAGAAACAAAGGTTATCATAACAGAGACCTGGTTGATAAGGAATGGGAAGTTTCACAGGCTGTAGGAATAACAAGTAGTTATAAACATCAGTTTAATTATTTTATTTTATGCAGTTTACTATGCGCGCGGGTGTACATCGAATATTTTGAATACCTTTACATGATAACTCAGAACGTTTTCAACAAATTTCAATGAAAATTTGCATGCTAGTATACTTTATAATTATCTACAACATTTATAAAATAGTGGTTGTATCTTGTTACAGGCATGTTTAAAGAAAGAATAATATGCATTAAAAGTAATCAATATTTTAGCACAAGGTGAAGCTGTATGTATCCCCTTAAGAATTACATAACATTATGAACTCATAGTATAATGTTGGACAAAATAATAAAATTAGACAGCACTTCCTGCAGCCAGAACTGGTCGCTCGCAAGCAGGACATACACGTCTCTGTAATTTCGGTGTTATTTCTTACAGTATTTCCACTCTATCCCAACAAGTCCTCCTATCCAATGGTTACTGGGCACTTGACATGTCCCTTGATATGTACAACTAAAAAATTTCATTGCATCCACAAAAAAGATAAACAAACGTGTAGTTTTATTACCTTCTTGGATGAGAAATATTTTAGATTTTCTTCTGTGATGTGAGGTAACTGCAAAAGAGGACTCTTATACTCCCACATTCCCTGAACTATCATCGGACACAATTTCATGCAATTTTCTATTGTCTCAATGTTGGGTAAACGAAGAACTGAAACAGAGAATCAGAACACAATAATAACAAACTTCAGTGGACCTATGACCACACAGTCCTTCTGACAGCAGTTGCACTACTAACACAATAACAGTATTGTATAAAACTCTTTATTACACCGACAGTCCATAAACGCAGTTCACTTGGTTTTCTTTTCTTCTGGCTGTATGACTCCAAATACTTTACATTGCAAAATCCTAAATATTTAAACAAATTTTATGATGATTCTATTGTAAGCTAATATTAGACTGTACGTGCCTCACACTGCCGAGTCTCTCATCTATCAGCATCCAAAAGACACCCTAATTCACATGCATACACTTCAAATTACTGAGTGTGACCTCAACTGCCACCTCAGCATATGAAATTGACAAAAACTGGATTCATGGTAGGCATTATTCTGTGTCTCTTACATAACGTTGTCATCTAGTGAACAAAATTCCACCTAGTTACTATAGGATTCTGACGATGGTGTATAACACACTGATATGTTAGGTTTTTGGACTTTATCCATCGTCCTGGTTTTTAAGATAACAAATAAAAACACGACGTTCCGGAAACTGGATCTGTTTCCGTCCTCAGG